AGACGATCGTGTCCTGAAAGCGACGTTGCCCACCTTCAAATCACGGATAGCAGAACGTCGCTCGATGTGGACCTGACATGGTGCAGTGCTTGGGCTCCGTCTCCGCAGGGCAACGTACGTCAGAATCTTCCCATGTGCCAATGAATAACCGTTCACTCGCAGTTTGTCAACTTTGCTGCCTCAACGCCCAAGACTGTCTTCAAGTTTATNAANGCTGGAANGACTNTACCCNACGGCAAACCTTTCGATGAATACTCTATCAAAGGAGAGACTGCGCCGAATAAGCCTTTCTCGTACCTGCTCACGTACATCTTCCAAGGCCAAACGGTCGAGGCAGTTTTCCTGCTCGTGTTCCAGCAGGACAAAACGCCTACGCTAGTCGACTACACGTTCACGCTCGGTGGAGCAGTGCGTCCGCACTGGAAGCGCCCTAAGTCGTGAAGTGTCTATCTGTCGCCCCTTAATGCAAGTGGGCTGTGACCTTTCGGTACTGCTATTGAAAACGGAGAGCGCTGTGCATGCGAGCGATGCAAAGGAGACAACAATAGCACGAGTGTGNTGCGCAATGGATCCGAGATGCATCGAGGCCCAAACAAGCCATGCAAGCAGTTGACTATGCCGGTTTCCAGTGAGGTCGTTCCGCACCTCCGATCGTGAGAACATATCGCACATCTTCAGGTAACACATCATCTCTCTGGAGTTAAGCGAGGAGAGCGTGATCGATTGCGCGGCCGTTGAAGACGTATGCCAGGTAGAAGGTGAATGAGCGGCCAGATGACAGAACCCTCTGACTGTGAAGGAATTGTAGTCGCGATTGTCAGGCTGAGTCCTGCCGGCGTTGTTGAAAGCAAACGAAGTCTTCGCAGTCGAGGCGGCGAAGCCGTAGAACTGACAAGGCGTAAGCGAAACAGTTTGTAGCAGTTTGGATGACGTTTGTTGCCCCGTTGGCGCCTAAGGCTGAACGACGAATGAATCGGTCTTCCGCAAGTAATTCCGTGACTTCCGATCCGTCTTGGAGCGTATGGCTTGGGCTTGCAATCGCCGAGCTTGGGGCCTGAGCCGCCACGATGCTGTCGCTCTGAGCCGCGCCAGCGGGTTGAGCACCCGAAGGCCCCAAACCCGACAGCAGTCTGCCGGACCATGCGCGCAGAATGGCTTCGTCCGGTTTGATGTATCGGTAGAATGGATGGACCGATCGTAGCCCCTTTTGACGGTCGCGTATGTCTTTCTTGAGTCGGACCCAAGACAACTCGAGCTAGACAGCTCGCTCCGAATAGCCCGGTCTTTCCTCGAAGTAGCCACACGGGGGCTGATCGAATTCGATCTTGAGTCGTTCTGCGGCACGCGGCGACTTAGCGCGTCCGCCACTGCATTATCTTCGCTCGCTATGCAAGTGATCTCCGCTGAGATGCCCAGGCTCCTTTAGAGCATAGATCATTCGCGCAACAGCCTCATGACTGCTGCATCCTTGATCGAACCGGACTTGATCGCCGCTATTACGGCTTGATTGTCGCAGTAAACCATGACACGCTGACCGCGCCAGCGCACACCCCAGAGCCTGAACGCTCTCACGACTGCGTAGATCTCGAGGGCCATGATGCCCTCCTTGATGATCGATTTGGGCGCCAGCTCCGACAAAGTGAGCTCGTCACATACGGCTCCGATGTCTCCGACGCCACTATCGTCGGTCGCTACTGCGATCGGTGCCCTATCATCCGCGATCATTGTATGGCCATTCCAGGTGGGCGCCAGATGCCACCAGAACGATAATATCTCGCCGTACCGCGCGCGGTATTCGCCTTCTAGCATGACTTGATTTGAACGACGTCGCATAATCGTCCAGACGACGAATGAACGCTCGGCTGCGGGGCACGACCTGACAGATGAAATGCAGGTGACCGCTCAATTCCTGAATTTCTTTGAGCGTGGCTGCTTGCCGTCTCTGCCATGTAGACGTCAGTCGCCGCAGCTTCGCCAATTTGTCGTCTGGGACCAACGCGACACCTGTGATCGTGTTGATACGCAGGCCGAGGAAGGTCAAGTCGTGCGTAGGCCCTTCCAGCTTGGCTGCCTTGAGCATCAAGCCGAGCTGCTCTCCAATTTGGAGCGCTCGGTGCGCTACGCCTCGCGCCTCCTCTTCGCTGACCGTACGCGGCAAGACAATCAGGAAGTCGTCCAGATAATGCCGAATCTTTCTTCCCGCTGGCAGCGCACAGCGCTCTAGGATCCAATGGAGTCCTTCAGCAAGCAAGTTGAACGCGTACGGCGCTGATCGCAGCTCGAAGGGCAAACGCGTTGACATGTACTGCTCGCCCCGCCACTCGAACCCGAGCAGATGACGGTCCGCCAGTCGGACCGGCACTTGATGATACGCATCTTCCAGATCGAGCTTGATGAGCCAGCATCCCTTGCCAGTCTCGCGGATGGCCTGAACAGCAGAACCAAAGTCCGCACACTGCATAATCGCCTCTCCGTCTGGAATGCCGTCAGTCACGCTCGTGCCATCATGCGGAAAGGACAGATCGTGAACGATTCTGACTTTATCTAATCCCTCTTTCGTCACCGCGCCCAACGGTGAGGATCTGTACCCTTCAAGCATGTGCGCTTGCTGCACCCTTGAGAGGTGTCCTTTCTTTGCTTGCGCCTTCAATTGCTTGTCCAAAGACTTGCTCTGCCTCATCGCGCTCGCATGATTCTTCTCTGACTTTGACGGCAGAGGACCGCAATGCCCGATCGCTGCGCCATATTAGACGATCTGCTGAATCACTGCTACCAAAGTGCCACCTTCCGGGTAATCTCGCGGGTACGTAAACGAATGCGTCCGAGTTCAGGCTCGAACCCACTCATTCAGCGCGACTGTAGGGTCGCAAGTAGTTTGAACGGGGATCTGCATTATGCCGTGCCGACGGAATCCGGTCAGGCGGTCTACGCTTCTTGAAGAGGCAGGGTTGCCAAGCGTGCGATCCTGCCTGCCTTCAGTCTTTATGCTGATGGCGGTACGCGCAATTGCTCTTTCCGCATCGTCCCCGGTCGCGCTCTTCGAAACATTGGCGGACGAACTGCGGAGCTGCTCGACTGTCGTCCCGAAGTTCCGCGCTCTCAATTGACTTCGCTGTCTCTCCACGAGCCGTTGATCGTTCCGCCACAAGCCTAGCTGTAATAATTTGCGCCGACAGGGGATCTTCGATTTGCCATGTGTCCATCGCTCCCGTGGCCATTTTCGCCTGTTTTCCTGCGAATTGGAGCTCAATGAATTCTGACAGAGCCGTATCGGTCACTCCCATTCCGTGCAGCGCCCAGAGCCAATTGGCGAGCACGGCTTGACCTTTCATTATCGACAGGGCGTGTTTAGGGTAGAAATCCGCCATAGCCACAAAGTAAGTCGACATAGCTCCCATCAGAGCTTGAAGAGGCACCAAAGCGCCGCCAGACTTCTTCTTTGCACAACCTCTGTTGGCGCTGGCGCCGGCGAGTAGAACAAGTTCGCCAAATTCGAGTTGAAAGGAGACAACTTTTGCCAACAATGGCATGGGCACCGACCCTGGCACCCCAGCGGGACGGCGATTGTACGGAGCTGACTTACTCTTAGACTCCACCACAACATTGGGCTTGACGGATGGCGCTGGCAAAGGTGTCCGTTGCTGCTGCTCTGATGGCCCCTGAGTGCTTGGCACCGGTGGTGACGTTGTAAGCTGCGTCACCAAATCTGTGAGCCTAGTCAGCTGCTCGCTGACCGTCGCCATCGCAGCCTCTTGTCGTGACAGTCTTGTCTCTTGGTCTTCTGCCGTTTTCGCCCGCGTGGCAGAAGCGGTAGCCATTGAGTAAACTTTTCTTGCGGGTTCTAGTAGTACAAACAGCAATAAAAAAGACCACGAGCGTCTTAGGGTGGATCAGATCACCATTGTATAGCTGAGCGGCATTGATACCTTGGAGTGGATCAGATCACCATTCTATAGCTGAGCGCGAGCGAGCAAACGCGCTCGCCAAGAGATTGCCATGTGGCGCCGGGCAACAACCCTACCCGGCTGCTCGACTCTGCTTTCTTCTGACTTCTTCCTCAAATACACCTTCGAGCCCCAGAGCATCTTCTTCGCTGAGATGCACGCCTTTGCGCGCGATGGCAAGCCGCCTTACTTTGACTATACGCTCTCGAGCGGCAGCGTAGTCCGCAAGCATTGGCTGTGCAATCAATAGAAAAATCACTGAACAGTGTCAGTGATTGCTACAGTCTTGTATCATGTGCACTAGTAACGCCTTCTGACTACTCTAATTTCACTGTCGCAAACTGGATTGCCACGCGTTACCGTCACCGTCGCGAAGCGGGTCACTCACTTCCTGACTGTATCTCTCCTGCTTCTGCGCAACCCATCGATAAAGATGCTTCTCGCTACGACAGCCATCGCGATCGTATCGTGTGCATTGACGCTCGCTGCACCTACGTCGTCGGACATCCGTGCCGTCAAGAACCCGCCCTGTGCCTATAACGACGTTGCCCACCTTCGTATCACAGACAGTAGAAAACCGCTGGATGTGGACATCACATGGTGCAGTGCTTGGGCTCCTTCTCCGCTGGGCAATGTATGTCAAACGCTTCGGACATGCTATTGACCAACCGGTGACTTTCAGATCCACAACTTTGGTGCATCGACGCCCAAGACGACGTTCAAGTTCGACGACGGCGGAGCGCCTTTACCCGGCGGGGAAACTTTCGAGACGTATGCTGTCCAGGGAGAAAGCGCGCCGAATCATCCGTTCTGGTTCCTGATCTCCTACATCCTCAAGGGTCGGGCGGTCAAGGCTGTCAATCTACGTGTCTTCCAGCCTGACGGAACTCTCACGGGGGTCAGTTATACGTTCACGCTCGGCGGAGTCGTACAATCGCACTATAAGCAACCCTAGCATGCTCGTTACATTTGGCAGTTGCAGGTCTCGCGCGATCGTGTCTCGTCGACGATCGATTGCTGCTCGTTCAGATGCGATGTTATTGTCATAATCACTGAGGGGCGACCGGCTATTCGACGTTGCGCCATGGAAGTCTACTTCGTCCGTAACTCTCCGCCTGCCATCGCACGATCATCTCCATTGCGATGGGCGATGAAACCCTGACCGTAACCTTCTCGTTCTGGCCAAAGAAACAGTGAAGCGACTTCGAAGATGCTATTTGCTACCACAGTCATCGCCATCGTATCATGCGCAAGCGTCCTGACGCTCGCATCACCGACGTCGTCGGCCGACAATGCTCTCGAGAGACGATCGTGTCCTGAAAGCGACGTTGCCCACCTTCAAATCACGGATAGCAGAACGTCGCTCGATGTGGACCTGACATGGTGCAGTGCTTGGGC